GGCCGACTGACCTGTGGACAGGCAGACCGTGGCACAGGCTGACTGACCTCTTTGAGTCGGTGCTCCTTCTCGGCCACGATGTGCTGGATCATCATGGCGACGGAGTAGACCCAGGAGATGACCATGCACAGGGGCATCATGTGCTCGATAACGAACAGGAAACTAGGCAAGAGAGGAGAGGACTTCCTCAGCCGTTCGACTTATTTCGGGGGAAACGGATGGACGAGATCCTGGGATCAAAAGCACTTACTCGTCTCTGGTGTAGCAAGGGTAGGGGAACATCTGGACGTAGTTCCCCGGCTCCACGACATCGTGCCCCACGAAGGTGTTGATGATGGCGCGCTCCATCATGTCTGGACAACACACAGCGCTGCGTCAGTGGCCAGCTTGATCCCAGCACCCCCTGCTGTAACTCACTGCAGCAACTACAGGGGGCGTCATTACCAGCTTTATATACTGCACAGCACACAGCGCTGTATTCCTTCCAGTGGTGGAATAAAGGTCAAGGAAGTGTAGGAAAAGGACCAGCCAGTATCCTGACCCGCAGTCAGACTTCCCCACGTGCGAGAAGCTTCCATTTTTGTTAACAACAATATAGTTTACAGTTTATTAAGCAGATCAGTTGGAAACCTGATTCCCCTCAAGTTTTTGACCTGCAAGCTTTTTTATATTCTGCTTTTGTCTTGAGCAAAGTAACCTTTTATCAAGCGCAATATATTTAGAAACTTGCGTCACAGGCTGCGACACATACTGGATCAACAGCTGCGGTGTTGTCATTTAGCTGCACTAAATGCTGATAAGAAAACACTGTGCAAACACAGTTACAAGCCATGGCTGTACCCTGGATCCAGACAAAGCCGTAGAGGAAGTAGTAGCGCCCCCCGGTGTTGGGCCCTGGCCTCCAGTACGCCCGGCGGATCTCGTTGGTTTTCTCCGTGAAGCTGGAATTCTGCCGGATCTTGTAGAGGACGTGGGGAGGCAGGGACCCGTCCCTGTTGGTCTGGAATATCACGCCTGGGGAGGAGGTACAGGGAGAGCAGGGGAGCAAGAGAGAAACAGCAGAAGAGGAATCAGCACTGAGAAGACAGCGGCCCGGCAGCATGAGAGTCTGATGGATACCACTTAACAGCAAACAACTGCAATAAGGGCCTCCTGAGTGCCTTGGCTGAAGGCAGGCTGAGCCCTGCGAACATGGGTTTGAGTCTGGGTCATGCCGCTAGCCCAGTGTGACCCAAGATGCCCCACACAACAGCACACAATTGGCTGGGTGCTGCCCTGCAGGGTGGGTCCAGTGTCTCGGTGACACAGCGCCCCCCTCTGGCCACCCAGGTGATCTGATCAGCGAGCGACAAGCCTCTCCTCCCAGGATCCCCCTGTCCGGGGGCTGTCTGTGTAGCCCATGATGTGCGAAGAGACTCAGAGGTGGGGGGGGGGGGGGAGGAATCTGCCCCCGCGGCCTCGCTCTCCCCCGTGCGCAGACACAGGGTTTGAAGCAGCGAGCCGAGGTGTAAAAAACCGCACAGCTGGAGCTACCAGGAATCGGGTGTATATAATAAAGCAAAATCTATGTTGGAAAGAACCATCAAAAATGTCACCAGCAGACGAGTCCACACGATTTATCTGTCAGAGGATGGGGGTCTCGGGGGGCCCACAGTGTCTGAGCGGGGTGCTGAGTTACTCACTGGCGAAGACGGTCACGTTGTCCTGGTAGGCCTGGTTCAGAGTGTAGTTAACGATGCTCTCCTCGTCGGGGAAGCCCTTGAAGATATCCACACTCACCTGGCACAGACAGATACAATAGCCGTAAAACATCATGCAATATGTTTTTACTGTCAGCGTCATTCTGTGAACCTTTTCTGCTCTGGCAACAC